CACACACACACACACACACACACACACACACACACACACACACACACACTTCAGCAGAGGCCACGCCTCCAGCAAGAATCGCTTCTCTATGGCCACGAGTCCAGACCCTCGTACGAAGCAAAGTGAAGGACAAGGGTCTGGTTTTTACCAGGCTACTACAGCTGGAATGTTGGGTGACAACATTATTGTCATGCTACAGTTTTATGAATTAGCATGGTGAACTGGGATGATTGTGTACCTTTGGCGTGATCCTTATCCAGCTGGTTGGCTGTCTTTTTCCAGTCTTCAATCTTGTCCTGAAGAGGAGTGATCAGACTCTCCATCAATGCACTGCAGGGAGACAGAGAAAGACAAGGACACTTAAGTAACACTCATCAAACACTAACTGCTTTTAATAAAGACAGAGAGGAAGTTTTCATCAAACATTTCCCGTCTTAATTCAAATGAACCCGCAAAGCTGGTTCCAACGGCTACCCTCAGGTAGAAGGTACAGGTCCCTACAGAGCTGGACTAAAAGACTTGCCAACAGCCTATACCCCCAGGCTATAAAACTTTTGAATTTACAGAACTGTTGAGAAATATCACTGTCTAATAGTTTACATTAGGGTTATTTACTTACTTACTTACTTATTTACTTATTTATTATAGTGGGGATGGGGAGCTGTTTACTCATTTGTATTTTGTAAGATGGATGTGTGCAAGCACTAACTTTTACTTCTTATGCACTTTACTTGGAAATCTGCTACTACCACTGAGTGTTGTACTCCAAACATAATTCCGTTGCCCTTTTTTGAAAATGACAATAAACAAAAATAGAAGCAGCATGTTGCTGAAATGAACTCATCATGTTCTTTTTATTCGACAATCTGATCACGCGCATCATTGCTCTCATCTCTTTTCACACATACAAGGTACCATTTTAACACATGAAGTGCTCAGGATTACTGCAACARGAAAACATCAACATTTTAAGACTGGTTTAATCTTCATAAACAAAACATAACCATGACCATAGACAGCCATCATCATCAACAACAGCATTTTTTGTTGTTGTTGTGGAAATGTCATTAGGGAGTACAGAGAATGAAGACAGAGGAACACGGTGGTTAAAAACAGACTCCTGGTGAGGTTTCCTGCGTGGTCTGAGCTGCATACCAGCAGCTGTATTCAGTTACAATCATTTAAATATAAACTGGGTGAGGAATGCAACTAATGGAATCCGTTCAGCAGGCAGCAGCACTAAACCTTTGTCTTAACATGACCCTGCAGKAATGGCAACTATGGATGAAAGTACACGTTCAAAAAATAAAATCTCAACTTTAAAACAATCCTGATGAACTGATCAAAGAAAACTGAGATGGAGAGAATGGAGGAAAGATGACTGGATCTTACTTAGTGAACTGTCGGAGTTTGGCCTCGATGCTGCGATGTCTCATACACATCCTGGTAAGAGCTGAACCAATATCTCTGGTGGCCCCTGCAAAGAAAACACAACCCGGATTAGACTGACACACATAGACGCWATCCAAGCATCTCACTGCTCATTTACCTCACAAAGTACTTCTTTTATTCCACAGATCACAGATCTGACTTTAGGATTCACATGAAAGCCATTAGCTTGCTGCGAAAGCCTAATAAAAACACGGGGACTTTCAAAAGATGAACAGCTACACTCCTTTTGTTTCCCTTTGCACTCAGCCAGTATTTACACAAGAAAGCAATCTACCTCTTGGAGAGACTACACACACTCCCAAATAAAGCATTGTCTCATGAGTGAGCGTTTGCACTCAGAGACCCAGTTTCATGTGCAGCAAACCTGCTGCTGTAAACACTGGCCTATTTTAAGACAATAGGTCTGCGTGGAAAAAGCTGACCTGAACATTGAAGTCAGTTTATTTGACGGCAAATAGTCCTGACTTCCAAACAAGGTGCTCCAATCTGCCGCTGCCGCGATAAAGGTGGACAGTTGGCACAAAAATGGTGACTGTAGATACTTCCTAAAGCTATAAAGACATAGGAACGGCTGAAAGGTTTAACTGTTCAAAGTGCCAGGAAAATACTGCAACTGAAGCATACTGAGGAAAGATTAAAAAAAAGAATAAACAGCAAACATTCACTTTCCTCTTCCAACAAGGAAATTAAGGGTAACATTTACGTTATTTTAAAGGGAACCCTGATATATATAT